AATTCCGAGGAGTAGCACTTCATTCGTGACTGGAACATGTACGTCTTCTACTTTATTTCAATACTCTCGTTAAACCCATAAATGTAATCTAGCTGAATTTGTTTCTGCTTCATCTTTTTCTTTCGATTTTGGTCATTCTGAGTTACATGAAAAATTTGCTGAAATGAATTTAAACCCGGTTTTGTCTCGGGTTCCACGTACTACTCTCATCACTATTTTTGAAATATATTGAGTGAGAAAAAAAAATTTTGGTGCAAACTTTTGAAGCTTTAAACAAAAAAAAAAAATCTATTTGTTGTGACATTTGGTCCGATAATTGGAAAAATAATTATTACATGATAGATGATAGTTTTACATTATAAAAACGTTTTAATTGCTTATACGAGATTTAATAATACTATCATCGGTTCTAACTAGTATGAATCTCGTGCATCACACGAGTAAAAGATATTCATTATTATTTATAAATTAAATAATTATATTGGTAAAATTTTATCATAGATTTAAAAGGCCGTGAATAATAAGTGTAATTATAAAAACTTATTTTTGTTTATTAATTAATATGAATTTATTTTTTATAAACTATCCTAATAAAAAAATTTAAGTAGTTGAATAACAAATTAATTATAAGTAATTGAATATTCCATTAACGTCCAAATTAATAATGACCCGTAAATTATGAATAATTACTTATTTAATCATTGAATATTCCATTAACGTCGCAATTTTCTAAATTTGTTTTTGGCTGCCTTATCATTCAAATTTATCAACTAAATCTCTAGAATTAAAATAAAATTTTAAATTTTATTAAACAATATTTGTTCTAAGATCTTTATAATTTTCAAAACGCATACATACCAATTTGCTGAATTGTCATCAATATCTTATGGCAAGTAATTATGAGAATATCTTAAAATTTGAGAATCATAGCACCTTGATTTTATTACAAATCAACCTAAAATTTGACTTTCATATCCATATCAAAGAAATATCATATCATTTATTTTGTTTTCACAATTTCTAAATACATTTCTATCCATACCAAATAAAATTCATATCATTTGAATTCGAGCAT